TCCAATGCCTACCTTTCAACCACTCTCTCTTCTGCCACAACGCCTATATAGCTTAACCGCTGCCTGCCTGTAGCTTTTAAACCTGTTTTCGTCCCTTTGCGCGAAAAAAACCCTACTGTCCCAGGTCTAACCTTATGCCTGTTTCTGCGGTTCATTACATAGGGATAGGAAGTTCTAAACCTAAAGGCTTTAGTTGTAAGGCTGAGATGGTGCTTACGTGCGACGGGTATATATACTATTCTGTACGCAATAATTAACGTTGGTTAATTATTCGCACCTTTTTAGTTGTATTAGCGTAGTGGTACAGAGCTCCGTCCTTACATTAGTTAACTAAAGGTTAATAGGATCTAGTCTATAGACTAAATAGTTTAATATAACAGTGTGTAAGTATTATAACCTAAACTAAATTAGACGCGTCTTAGAGCTTAGACATAGTTAAACAAACAATTAGTGCAATATTGTATAAGGCTGTTACTAGCAAAAGCGAGTTTTCTAATATAATGTAACAGCGCAGGCAAGACAATAGGTCTAAATTCCGGTGGGAATCCACTCAGAGGCATATAGGAGTGCGTGGGGACTCTAAACCTAGGAATGCCATTAACACCTATAGGCCTTGTATGAAAGGATATTAGAAAACTACTAAGCTAGCTACAGAGGCGAGGTGCGACTAAATACATGAGGGAATAGGGGTAACAGCAGGGGTCGGGGCCAGGTCGAGGTCGGGGCCGATACAAGGGCCTTCCGGAGGTTCCGGGCGACTCGAGATGGAACGATTCATGAGGATCGTTACACTATGTAATAAAGTTATATAAAGTGTAAAAAGCTTTTTTTATTATCTTTTATTCTAATTTATTAAGTGCGCGTAGACACTAAGTAGAAGGTGTCTATTTAGAGATGTCTAGATATCTATAGAGATGTGTACTTTAGATATTACTAATTAAAGCTTTTTTTATATAATGTTCTTTTAAGATAAGAATGTACTCTAGATTATTTTATTTACTATAGAGTAAGTAGTTATAATATAACTCTTAACCTTTACATTTAGAGCTCTGTAGAATACATAGAACTCTAGCTATTTAACTATTTAAAATAAAAGCCTTTTTACAGTTACTAGTAAAACAAGCGCTATAAAAATAACATCTTAATTTAGTACATTCTAAAGGGCTAGCGTATTAATATTATTTAACTACTCTATGTTATAAAGCTGTGTGTAAAGATATTAAAGTTAATTATAAGTTTTTATATAAATAAGCCTATCTTTTTTTTAAAAGTAGATATTATGTTTAGTCTTTAAGTAATTTTAAAAGTTTATAGTAGACTTTAAGTAATGTACTATTTCTGTATAATGTTAATGTAAAAAGTAATAAATTAGCTTTAAAGGCTATTAACGTACTTCACAGGCGAGTTGCTTACACACCTAAGTTGCTTACTTTTGCTAAGACCCTACTAAACTACCCTTTCTACACTAATGCATTCCCTACAACACTACTTAGACACACTAAAAGAATGTTAGATACAGCTTACGCTTTAAGCTTTTAAATAAAACATAAAACTTTTAAAGAAATGTGCTGTAGCTATGTGCAAGGTCTTATAAAAGACAATAAATAACTATAGCGCTAGACAACCTTTACAAGCTAATTCTACAGCTAAATTATAAAGGCTAGGTAATAAAAAGAAGCAGGTAATTATTAAGACTATACTTAAGCTATATGCGCAAGGAATTTCCTATTACATAGCATTTATAGCTAATATAGCTAATTCTTTGCGCGCTAAGCGTAATCTAGGCTATGTTTACATAAACTAGCCTAGTACGTTTATAAAGCGTTATTTAGAGCTTAAAGTAATATTTAAGCATAAGTATAACTATAAGAGAGCTCTCTATAAAAGTCCTAGGGTAATTTAAAGTAGGTTTAGCCTTATAAAGAATATTAAAGCTAAGTATAGCATCTAGGATAATAACACGTACAACTTTAGCAAGATAGGGTTTATAATTAGCTAAATATCTCTTAACTATACTTACGCTTAAAACTTTACTTTAAGCTTTAAATAACACTTTATAAATATACTAGGCTAGTTTATGTAAATATAGCCTAGATTACGCTTAGCGCGTAAAGAATTAGCTATATTAGCTATAAATGCTATCTAAGGGGAAATTTCTTGCGTATATAGCTTAAGTATAGTCTTAACAATCACCTGCTTCTTTTTATTACCTAGCCTTTATAATTTAGCTGTAGAATTAGCTTATAAAGGTTATCTAGTGCTATAGTTATTTATTATCTTTTATAAGACTCTACACATAGCTATAGCATATTTTTTTAAGAGTTTTATGTCTTGTTTAAAAGCTTAGAGCATAAGCTGTATCTAATGTTTTTTTAGCGCGTCTAAGTAGTGTTGTAGGGAATGCATTAGTGTAGGAAGAGTAGTTTAGTAGGGTCTTGGCAAAAGTAAGCAACTTAGGTGTGTGAGCAACTCGCCTGTGAAGTACGTTATATTTAAACAATTATTTATATAATATAACGTGCTTCGTGGGCGAGTCGCTCGCACGCCCGAGTCGCTCGCTTTTGCCGAGACCCCACCCCGACGAACTCTATTATGGCCTATAACAACCCGCTCTGGCACTATATAGTACAGTACAGCCTAGAATATTATTTAGATACTACTTCTGCTTCTTGCTTACACGTTCGCGCGTTATGCCCAGTCTAATTGCACTGTCCGCAGCGCCTTTAGAATGGCTCACCCACTTCAGCTTGCACCTGCTTCTTCGCCTTCTTCCTGTCACTACGCGCCCTAAACTCCTTTAGAGCTGTTAAGCGCAGGCCTTCCTAAATTATTAAGGTCTCTCCTGCCTTAATCTACTTTTTTTTATGCAATTTATGTTGCGTAGCAGCCTTATTAGCTGCTTAAAGCTTAGTAATTTCCTGTTGCGCTAACACTAGCTTATGCGCAATTATTGCTACCCCCTTTAAGACCTTTTTAAACGCCTTAACTATAGAAGTTAGTAAACTATTTGTATACTTCTAAATTTTTATCTTTACAAGCATTAATTGTAACCTAAGTTTTAGAGTATTGCTTAGAGTTTACAACTGCTAGGGCTTATTATATATAAGTAGTAGTAGTAATAAAGTGCGCAACTTTACATTAAGGCCTATTATAACTTATTATAGGTTAAAAAGAACTAATCTAGCGCCTTAGAACCCTTCTTAGATATTACTAAAAGTAATTATAGTATTATAGGCTGCTTTAAAGCATAGTAGGAACTTTATTTTTATAATATAGGTAATCTAGTTGCGTATAAGGTTTTTAGCTTAGTGCTTATACACTTTCTTTAAAAAAGCAAAACAACCTACATTAAGTAGCTATAAAAAGTGTGATAAGTAAAAAGGCATGTAAATAGTAATAATCTTG